AAATGTGTCCCCACTAACAACAAACCCTTATATGATCTGTACAGGCACGATTATGAATCATTCGAAAACAATTGTTCGCCTTCGGACTTGTGTTCTGATGTTACAATGGGATTCTTAAGATGCAGATATCCTGATCAATCGTAGCGGAATCTCAATGAAAAGTTCTGTGCATCAGGTAATTTGTCACGGTTCGACAATATCCCCTACTTCAAACGAGTGACCGATGAGTACTATATCAGGTGGAATTATTGTTTAGTAAGCTGCTGAAGGCCAACAGGGCTAGCCCAAGTGATTAGTGCGACATATTCAGGTCCGAATGCCAGTTCATGTGTTGGGTTCGTGGTGCTGATTATTACCAAAAAGATGAAACAGCTGTACTGTGCCTCTGATGCTCTCTCGTGCTGAGTCATACGTTGTTGACTCTGCATGATGTGTACAAAAGCATAGATAGTAAATATTTTTGTAACGATTTTCGGTTATCTTTCGTGTTTATATCATTGTTTCTTTTATCCTGTCGCACATCAGGTAAATTTCCATAATCATAACTCGAGAATCTTTGTCTCCCATGTCCACATATAACGACGCAAGAAAAATTGCCTTACTGCTTTTCTATACACTTCCGATTTGTTTGGTGAAACTCAGTCCCATGTCTGTCACAAACACATTAATCACTCAGATGCTAATTTTCTATTTCCATCGTTGTCTAACCACTGATTCATCATCATGTTTTGACTGCTGATTTGTATCGATGTACGTATATATGTGTGTGTATAAATGTTTACCAACTAGCTTTTTCTCGTATGACAACCAACCAACTGGTGAATAATTCACGACATATTGTACTTACTAGAAATGTCTGACTGCAATAAACCCACATTCCAAAACCTCACTTCCTCTCATTCAGATCTTCAAGGGTTACTTGGACGATCAACTGAATGCAGACAGTGCGTGGACCGAGACCGTGGTAATCAATATTCATGAGGGCGGAAGTAAAGGAGCCTATTTGAACGATACGTTCCTCAAGGTAATTAATCTGGTTTCGCACGTCACGAGTTGACTAAAACCACTCTGCGATCCGTCTTGTGCATGTGTGTGTGTGCGATAAACATGTGTGTGCTTCAGAGAACCTAGAGACAGTCAATACCATTGAGGAGTTGAGCACGAATGGAGAAAATTCTTCATTCGACCGGATTGGAGAGATTCTCTTCGTAACTGATTTTCACACAAACCGTTTTATATCTTTCCTATGAATGAAATCATCCGGTTTATTCTCTGATCAGCAGGCTGTTATTCCATGAGGTTTCTTTAGGTGGATTTTTCTGCCGGTGGATGGAATAACCGGAATCGTGAAGAACAAGCTTCCTCACTTTGGGCTATGGATATTTTTTTCTTTTTTTTCGATGAACAGCTTTTATTTAAATGAGTGTTTGTTTGGTCTGACTTTGAACTAACTTTTCTACCAACTGCAAGTGTAATAGACTGTCGCCATTTATGAGTGCCACTTGTGTAGTGACTGTTATTATAACCACCTCAAATAAACGGTATTCTAGTAAAAAGTGATTTTTTCCAAGATAATTTATCTCTACCTCGTAACCACACATAAAGTAGCGAATTCGGATTTCACTGAACAATTTTTTCCTTGCGTTTGTTTGCCGTGTGTATATTCAATCGTGTCCTGATTCCGGGACTTGACGGAGCCATCTGGTGTAACAGAGTAAAAGCTTTCTTGACTGTTCATTACGGAAGTTTGTTTTCCTCCACATGCTCTATGCCAAAAAACATATTTTGTCTTCACATTCGGACGTCCAGGGTGCGCCAGATCCAGACTAGTGACTAGAACCACATCCATCTCCCTTGATGGCGGACAGTATTTCCGTTAAACTAATTCTCTTGGGAATAATGTCTATGGCCAACCCAATAAGCAGCAGAAAACCCATCCCTTTTTATTCGCCTTTGGTAGATTTCAGTGACCCATGCACTTTACGAACTCATTGCAAATATAGAATTTCCTGTGGGCAACTTTTTCTGGTGCGAACTTCTTACTTGCCATCCTCATTTAAATTGAAGCTTAAATAGTGAATTATGTACTTTTGGTTTATTGTTGTTTGACAATGCGTGTCTGTGGAACTTCGTGATGCCTATGCCGGAGGTTAGTTAACTTTTTATCTGATGAGCGCCTTTTCAGGCAGCTTTTTGCAGATTCCATAAAGCGCATTTCTTTTCTTTGCATGTTCCAGATTTTCAACGAGCCGAATACGGGAGAACAGGCCCGATGGATGGAGGTCTCCCAGAGCAGCAATCTCAGAACTAGCCACAACTATATTCTTAAAAGTGTGGCAGAAAACAAGAACGCATTCTATTAGACTGAGATGCGGAGAATATGGACGCATTGCCCAAACTTTCGCACAACTCCTTGAACCCCAAGAAATAAGTAATATGGATTTTGTTTGTGTATGTGTGGGTTTGTGCGTACGTGTACAAAAATTGGTTAAAAACGAACTATGGACGTGGTCCTACTTACTTTCAGGCACATTTTGTCCTATCAAAACCCATAGTTTCCCTGTCCTTCTTCACCTCATTGGTGCGAATACCCTCAGCGATGTAAAAATACCGAACATGGATTGAGAAAAGACGCATACACGAAGGTTTGGAATTGTGGATACGCGCACTTACTGGTTGCGAGCATTTCATTTCTTTATGGCATTTACACGGGAAAACACAAGTACGACAGTTTCATCCATCGAAATCGGACTCGGAGCAAAGCCACGTTATTACGCAGTCAGTCGCGAGTGTTAGTTGGAACTGGACGCAGGCATAAACAGTTCCTCTCGTGCACAGTTGAAATTGCCAATTCCAAAATAGTTCCTATTCACAGAAATCATTTGAATGGTAGATAGAGGATTTCACTTTCCTGTTCACTCAGTTCATTTTTTCTATTGCATTCCAAATTCTAACCGAAAAATAAAGAGAAAACCAATCAACTCCACATTTAGCAACCCTTTCTCACTTCTTTCAACCATGATTTCCTGATTTTTGTTTAGCATTTAATCCAATCTTATGCCTATCCCACCTGGTATCTTTGACAGGAACTTTTCATGTCTGAACTAGATCTCTAAACTTGAGTCTATCCAAATTTGTTTCTAAAAATGATTACCTCATCCGCCATCGCGCGTCCGTCAGCAAGAAGGTCAAGACCGAGCGATCCAGTGATTTGAAACTCCACCGCCACATTTTCATCGTGCCATTTGTGGAGACTGTGACGTATTTTGGGTTGAACTGAGTGTTCATTCCTGGTCTTCCAAAGAGATTTGTAATTCGGGGGGAATCGACTAGTTTCCTCTCGCCCCGCTCTCTGTTGCCATGTTAGCTAACGGTTCCAATTTTGCGATTCATCAGTGGTTTACTTTGATCGATCCTGACTTCTCTTCTAATCCATGCATCCACACCCACACCCACATACTGGCAATACGAATCAGTGATCTGAAGTTCACAGATGTAATTTTGAACCAATTCTCACTAGAATGACACAGATAACTTCGCGATTCCATGCGCTCCGTCCTTTCCTCTCTCTCTTGAGCTGCTGTTGTATTCGTTTTGTTCCGTTCCGTTTCGCTTCTCTTCATTATTCCGTTTGTCCATACAAGCGCTTTTTTGTAATTGGTAACCAGTTTTATCCCTCACACGTTTATTGTCGGTCGTATGAGTGAAACAGATCCTGCCCTCACTCCATCCGAACCTACCCATTCTTTCATCCCGAGTATTCTAAACCACATCTCAAACATTGTTCTGCATTGGTCCCAGTTGCGATATGGATAATTTTACCCGAAATAAAAAGGAAATATTGGTCAGTTCGGTTTTCTAGTTCCACCGGTAACCACATCAATATGGTGGTGGGTTCCTTTTTAGGTGACTTGCAGTTTACCACGAATAAAGAACCATTATCGACCTCCGTTGTACAAACTTGCTGCGAGTAAAATGTACGGTTGATGCCGTACGAAAACATGAATCAGTTGGGATGTTTAGAGGTGACCGCTTGGGACGGGCAGAACCTGTGAGCTAATATGCGGCATACACATTATGCTGTTGGTCTATTAAAGCATGAATACATGAAATGTGAAGTTTTATTTTCAAAAGTTCCGGCAGTTGGCATGCACATTTTCTAGCATTCTGACATTCACAAATTTATACACTATTATCATTGAGCTGTCATTGGATAAGCTGAATACCACCAGTATTTGACAACAGTTGCAGTATTGTTATATTTTTAAGCGCATTGTCGTTTAAAGAGGACTGCAAAAAGATGTATATTGGGCAATAATAAACAGTAGTGTCCCTAGCATAATACAAACGTACCTTCAGTCTTCAGGATTGAGGGCAGACGGCAGGGTGCCCGTGTAAACCTGAAAGTGATTGACTGTGCTATCCCATTTATTCTATATGCATTACGTTTGAACGGAATAGTCTTGATTAAGCCTGATGTACCTAAAATATGAAATAAAGGTTCAATGGATAAAAAGGGAAAACCTTTAGGATAGTTCATCAGCAAACGAAGTACACAATGTGTTGTGTACTGACTGTTGTTGAGACTGAAATCGCACCACCAACTTCCGAGCCGAAGAAGAGAACACAATCAAAATGGCACAGGACAGCATATTAGAAAAACCTGTCTTCCTTTTTTGTCGTCCTTTACGCGCTAGCATTTGTTCTTTTTATTGCGTCCGGTGCGTTCTGAACGTTCGATATACATTGACCAATCAGAGTGGTCGAACCACCCGGTTGATAGCGCTGTCTGACAAATCAGAAACGTCGAACCGTCCGTGGTCAAATACAGTGATCGATCATTTCGGGCCGGAGGCTCACCTAGCTGCGGCTTCTATCTTTTGGCTATTCTCGCCAAGCATATGAATTTTTCGACCGGATGTTTTTAGAATTTAACCTTTCCAACACAATTTAAGCTTATTGGATACATCATTGTCTTTTTAATTAGCTGCAAGTTCATTCATGGGTTAGTAGTCCCAATTTACCGTACTCTCACACTAAAACATCCAGTTCGGCCTTCGGAATTGATCCCATCTTGCCTTAGTCCACTTCCATTTAGTGTGCACAGGACTGGTTAAGGCTACCACCAGTTGAGCGTCCAGAGTTCACTCGATGGTATACTCACTGTAGTACATCACCTAGGGATACTTGGAAGAGCAAGCTCACTTGTAAAACAATTGACTCAAAGATCACAGGAAGAGTTCAATCCAATATTGGAAATTTTTTTATTTATTTTGTGGAGTACCTACGTACCTCCGATGCAGTTGTGGCTAGTTCTTCTATATTGTGAATACATTAGTCTTCCCGAGGCCGGAGGGCCGCATTTATGTCATTCTTAAGTATGGCTACCGAAATAATATGGCTTTGAGTTGGCAAATGTGCCCATTGTTTCACCTTCTAAGTTAAAAGTGCCCGTTACATCTCGCAGTTCTACCTTTGATTAAAGCTGACTGTAGCGCTCCGTTTGCTTTAGTTTCGCTTTTTTTAAAAAAGTTCAACTCGTGGTTTCTCTGCTCACTCCGAATGATGTCAGTCCCCTCATTTCTGTGTTCGACATATCGTACCCAGCGGCGTCGCAGTAGCGTTTTCTATCCAGCTTCAAAACGACTTCTTACTTTACCTAATGCAGTCTGCAACCAGGTTAGCTTAGTTAGAGTAAGAAGCAATCCTGCAATGCAACTCAATTCTCTTTGCTTACTTTCTGCATCCCTTCCTTTGAAGACCCATGCTACGTTTGCAGGCATACTTCTACGAAATCAGCCCGCCTCCATTTTCCCGAAGTTAATAGTATTTTACCCAGAAGAGGATTCGTTATCCTGTTTTATAGTATAATCTTAAGCACATTTTGGTAACTTTTCTCGGTCGGAGGACAGCAACTAAACCCATATATGTTTTTCGCGTACCTTGTTTAAAACGGTCCGGTAGAGATGGTTCAGGAACTGTCCCGAAATCCGTATATCTTTTCGTACTCTTTTGCATTAATGGAGGGCATAACCAGTTTAGCAAACTGTGTTCCTGTGTTTTGAACAACTTTCCATGACCCAGTTGACACCTGGGTAAAACATCATTGTCTTACGAATTTCTGGTATGTTATCAGGTTATCCAACGTTGATCTAAGTGGTTCATTCTCCACTGGCATAGCACTCGGACTCCTGTAAACTGTCATTATTCATTCTGCCTCGCTCGCTCGGTCGTAATAATGATTTAGCACATCTACGGGTCACTAGGGCAGACTTCTTTGTCTGTTCTGAATAATTTGGTCCCCTTCCTTCCTAGAATGATTGCACCACCATTCAGGAATTTTTGCTTCTGCACCGCCCGTGCACCTCATCGGCTTCAGGGGCTAGTGAGGAAATGTGGTTGTGCATCCAATCATAGCTTCCACGGCAGCTCTGTGGTTGCCGGATGTATTTAAGGCTTCCAACACCTCACCCTCCACACACACACCTGTTTCTGGTTATGAGCACATGAGACCAACTTTGACACATTTGGGGCAACCTGGACTAGCCGTGAGCCACGATATCTTTACGTGGTCAACGGAGTATCGACAGAGAATCAAGATTAGAGCGAATTGATATAAACAGTAGCTACAAAGCAGTCAAATGTGATCAACATCACCCAACGG